GGAAGTACAAGGAAGTACTGGGAATTGAACCCTAGGCCTTTGTGTTGAACTACGCTCCAGGCTTTTTTATTTTTTGAGGCAGGGTCTTGCAACAGTCTGCAGTAGGACTTAAACTTATCCTCCTACCTTAGCTTCCCAGAATGCAGGATTTCAGGTACCACTATGCCTAGCCCGTTTAAAGTACTCTAAACTGGGGCCACGGATATAGCTCAGTGGAGCTGTCCCTGCCTAGCAGCTCCAAGGTCCCGAGTTCAATCCCTGGTACATAGTGGGGGTGGGGGGAGGTAGGGACGAGAAGAATGAAAGTACTCTAAACTAAGTATGGTGGTAGGCATTTGTAATCCCAGCAATTTGGGCAGCTGAGGCAGCTGGAGTGCAAGTTCAAGCTCAACCTGGGCAACTAAGCAAGACTCTTTGTCTCCACAAAAGGGGATTGAGACAGGGATGTAATTCAGTGGTAGAGTGCTTGTTTAGCATACAGGAGGCTCCAGTTTCTCAGGACAGGAAAAAAAAAAAGTTCTCCAGAATAAACCATCTTCTTCCTATTTAGTTCTATGAGATGGAGAACTAGTTCTAACAAAGTGGTACTATTTTTTTTCTTTTTTGGGTTTTGGTTTTTTGAGACAGGATCTCACTATGTAGTCCAGGCTGGCCTTGAACTTATGGCGATCCTCCTGCCTCTGCCTCCTGAGTGCTGGTATTATAGGTATGCACCACCACACCTAGCAACAAAGTGATATTTCCGTTAATTTTCACAATGGAGATTTTGAGTGACCAGAGATATTTTTAAAACATTAATATGATTAGTGATTTTAATCTTCTAATGTATAGTACTAATTTTTCACCTCTTTTGGATGCTGTGGATCAAACCCAAGGACTGCATAGGTGAAGCACAAGCTCTACTGTTCAGGTACACAACAGCCCTTTCTCTTTTCAGACAGTCTCACTAAGGAGTCCAGGCTGGCCTGGAACTCGTGATGTTCCTGCCTTAGCCTTCCGAGTAGCTGAGTTTACAGTGGTGTACCGCTGTACAGTCCACCACAGCAAGCTTTTAAGATTTTTATTCCTTATTTTTAAAATCTTTTTTTTTTCTTTCAGTACCAGGGATCAAACTCAAGACCTTGTGCTTGCCAGGCAGGCGCGGTGTCACTGAGCTAAATCCCTGGCCCCTACTCCTTATTTTTAGAGATCAAGAAAAACTGCAGAAATGAAACCTAAACTTTAGCAGAAAACTTAACTTTGCTTTTTATATTTACCAAAAAGTTTACTTCACAATTATAACTGCATTAAATGTATTCCAAAGTACACTTCCATTTTCTAATTTGTACTGACAGAATGATGATTTATTTTTATAAGTGCTGTCACCTGAAATAATGACCACTTTCCAGTTGGACTTGAGGCTGAAATGTGGTTACATATTTTATAATGTATCCAATTTATATAAATGTGGTCTTCATGTTTCCTTATAAAGAATGCACATGCTTTTACTAACCTCCCTTTTTTTTTTTTTTTTTTTTGGTACCAGGGATTGAACTCAGGTCCTCGTGCTTGCAAGGCAGTTGCCAGACCACTGAGCTAAATCCCCGGCCCTACCCTTCCTTGTCTGTACAAGTACCTCATGACTGAGGTAATCTTAAAAAAAAGCAAGCTCAGCTTGGCATAGTAGTGCATGCCTGTAATCCTGGCATTTGGGAGGCTGAGGCTGGAGGATCACTGCAAGTTTGAGGCAAGCCTGGGCTACACAGTGAGTTCGATGTCAGCCTGAACTACATACCAAGAGCCTGTCTCAAAAAAAAAAAGCAAGCTCAGTGCTGATAGAAGAAAAAAAATTTAGGGGGTAGAGTGCTTCTCTAGCATGCAGGAGTCCTTGGCTTCACTCCTCAGCAACATGGGGTGAGAAGTGGGGGGCTTCCCATGCATGTTATGGGCTTCTTCATACAACCTTTTTTTTTTTTTTTTTTGATTTTGTGAGACAGGGTCTTGCTATGTAGTTCATCCTGGCCTTGAACTCAACAGTGATCCTTCTGCTTCAGCCTCCCAAGTGCTGGGATTACAGGTGTGCACCAACACACCTGGCTTCAATACAGTCTTGGTGTGTGCTTCTCTGCATGATTTGTAGGCCATCCTTGAACATGTTTTATGAGATTTTTTATTTTTTGGAGACAAGGTCTCACTACGAAGATCAAGCTGGCCTTGAACTCATTTGTGATCCTCCTGCCTCAGCCTCCTGAGTGCTGAGATTACAGGCATGTATTACCTACCACTCCTGCCTGCAGGGTTTTAATGTTTTTTTTAAGTCAGGGTTTCATCACGTAGTTTAGACTGCTCGAGGTCACTGTAGCCCAGGCTGACCTCAAATTTGTGGTGATCCTTCTGCTTCAGCCTCTTGTGTGCCAAGATTTTAGGTATGCACCACCATGCCTAAGGTTTTTGACATTTTAAGTGAAGCGTGCTGCTAGCACAAGTGTTAATGAACATATGGGTCAGGCAGATGAGTTTCGTGGTACAACTGTTGCATTTGATGTATTACTGCTCCCAGAAGTCTTATTTGGACCAGGTGATAGACTTCTCTGGCAACTCAAGCACTAAAGACTTTGAAGAGAGAGGTTTATGACCTTCCTGCCCGACAGCAGTTAGCAGCTGCTGTGTGGCTGGCTGATTGTGACACTGGTCCTTGCTTAACTACTAGAATACCAACCTTTGGCTGTGATGAAATAGAAGGAGTACTAATCAAAGGATTCTTGGGGACTGTGTTAGTCTGAGGCATGCTAGTTCTTGGAGACACACAGGATCCCAGGGATGAGGCATCAGATGTTAAAGGCATGGCTAGTTAGAGTGATTAGATGGCTGGGCTTGTGTAGAGAGCTGAGCAGCCTGAGAAGTCAGAGATGTGCTGAAAGCAAATGCTCCAGCAGTATGAATTATAGACTGCAGTGAAGCTTGTATCACAGCTCCTGTGAGAACTTTGTTTATCTTGGAAATGGTCACATTGGAATTACTGAACTGCAGTGTGGCTTGCAAAGCAGGAGACAACTGTTGAAGATTTGGATTGGGGAGTAAGGTCGGTATTGGTGACTGTCAAGCAGGAGAAACAGGAACTGCAGAAGCAGATGTTGGAGGTACAGATGTGACATTCACTCCAGAAGCAGAAGATGTGGGAGTTGTGCAAGAATGTGATACTGATCTGTCTCCTGCTGAAGATTCTTTTCTTTCTACTTTCTGCACAGGGACAGAAGATGTGGGTATACGAAGTTTCAGTATCATTAGCATCAAATGATTTCTCTGGCTGGTCAGATGTGGCGCGTAAATGGACTAGATGGAACAGTGCTTGGGGTAGCAGTTAGACAAAGCACTGGTTGGATGGGGTGGCATACTGGCATAGAACTATTGTGAGTCTCTGATCTTGGCAGTATACAGTCTCTATCACTGTGTCTGCTTGTTCGAGAAAATATTCTTGGAATATCACAGGAATCCATGTCCTCCATTCCACTGGCAAACCCACTAGTGGCTGTTGCTTGTATCATATCTCTTCTGTCTTTTAGGAAGCTATTAACTGCTACCTTATTTGCTTCTTTTTGTCTCTGTTCTCTTTCAGGCCACTTTTGGTTTTTCGCACCATGAAACTTCCATTCACAATTGTAGTAATATTTTTTCTTAGAAGAGCTAATGTGCATAGACCAGTCACCTACACAATCCTAAGGAGCATCTGAAGTTTTGCTTGGATTATGGTTGGATGAAAAGAATGTAAATTTGAACTACGAAGAACACTGTGGTGGTGTGAACTTTCTTGTGGAGAGAGACTGGTCCTACCTTCCCTCTCTCTAACTCTGTGAGTATATATATTTTTGGCCTTACTGTGACCTGTGCTTTGTATGTCTCTTTAGGATTATCAGATCTCTGCAACATTTTATTTGGTGGTGAAGGATCTGCAGTGTCTCACATCTTTTCATGTCTGCATTTACCACTACTGGAGTGACTCTTTGATGAATGCTTAAGTGCCTGGTCCTCCTCCTCCTTCTGTCATTGCCACTGGTGCTGCTGTCACTGCCCCACCAACTACATCCAGGCAACTCAGACCACTGGGGAGAATTTAAAGTATGCCCTCAAAGAAAATCGAGTGTAGGCCTGTAAGAGAAAGGTGCACTATAGTCACAAGCAGGGAATATTTCTATATTTTTGAAGTGGAAATCTGTGGAACTAGAATCCAAACTATATGAATGTAATCTAGAAGGGCAGAGAAGACCAGGTATGATGGCACATGCCTGTATCCCAGAACTCGGGAGGCTGAGGCAGGAGGATTACTGTGAGTTCAAGGCCAGCCTGATACATAGATCAAGACTCTGTCTCAAAAAAAAAGGTAGAAAGGACATTATTAATCCTATTACTGTATAAAACAGTGTAGTATCACGAGTTTAATGAACACTGAGTGTTAGGGTTTGTGTCTAGATGTCCCGTTATACGCTCATAGGTAAGGCTCTGGGGAGGTGGCTAGACAACGGTGTGTAACGCTGGATTAGGATATGTGACACTGGGATTGAGGAGGCATGATAACTAAATTGGCTTTTCATAGTTCTGGGTGTGGGTAACAGAAGTCCCACCTTGGGTGTGGGTGGCATCCATCAATAGGTTTGTAGCGTGGACAGAATAGAAAGGAATAGAAAGAAAGCAGGATGCTGTTTCCTGTGGCTTGCTGCTTCCAACCTGCCTTGCCGTGGTCTGTTTCTCCTCTGCGATGCCCCTCTGCCACACTGTCCTGCCTTGGAGCCCACCAACTATGGACTGGAATCTCTACAAACTGTGAGATGAAATAAATCTTTCCTCTTGATTGTCCGGTATTTTGTCTCAGCAACGAGAAAAGTAAGACACTGAGGTATTTGAGATGAGACTGATATTTGTGTATATAATGCTTACAATATTTTTTGATGGTCAAATTATTGTTTTAAAACATAGAAAAATAACAGGCATTTAAAGGATGTCAGCTGATTGTTACCACTACTTACTCTGTAGTTTTGTAAACATCAGAATATAGCCCAGCCTTCTGATACTTCTTTTTTGGGGGACGAGGGGCCTTCTTTTCCCTTGGGATAAGAGACAGCACAGGCTGCAAGGTACTTTCAGGTTCAGGAGGTTTGGCTGGGGTTTCAGGAGGACTGGGAATCTCAACTTGTGCTTCTGTAAAGCTAGAAAGAGAAGTTTAAGGATAATTTTAATTATCTGCATATGTTAGGATAACTGACACTAGACTTGTCTACTTGATAAAAACTAATAGATAGGGCCGGGGATGTAACTCAGTGGTGCCGTGCCTGCCTGGAAAGTGCCTGCCTGAGTTCAATTTCCAGTACTGGAAAAAAACAAAAACTAAAATAAACTAATAGACATAACAATAAACTACCAGAAGCACAGAGATAATTTATGAAACAATTATTACCAGACACTGATAAGTTAATGCAACACTGTGATCCCTGAAAAAACTTGAAAAAAAGTAAGGGGAGTGACAGAACCACCTTGCCTTTTTCAGAATGATCTTGGTACAGGAGTAATCAAGCAGAGAACAGGTAAACTGATAAATTTATACAAGAGAGATCAGAATAGGAGACATGCAGCTGAAAGGCTGAAGGTGTGGAGAATGACTCTCCAAATCCTTGAGGTTCTTATTATACTGCTAAATACTAGGATTTGCATATGAAGGGTAAAATACCGTGAAGTCAAACAAAGGATTGAAAGAACTATAAACTGAACACTTTTTAGAGATTTCATATTCGTATGTACTCAGATTGTAAGGGGCAGAGTGGAAATAAACCACCTAACACTTCAGACATTCAATAAAAATCCCATAAGGTGATATTACCCAGTGTTGTACAGATTATCATTAGAATAAAGGTCAGTTAAACTAAGCTCAAAAACAACCTTCAAAAGAATACATGCTGGTCCACAAGAAATTTAAATGCCTCTCAAAATAGAACAGAAACTTGTGAAAACCAACAAAAACCAGACATACAATATTGTGACATTCCTAATGTCCTGTATCCAATAAAAAATTTCTACAAATGCCAAAATGCAGAAAACTGACACAGGAAAAAACAACATTCAACAAAAATACTATCAGAAATCACCAAGACAGAAAAGGACTTTTAAGTAGTATTACAAGTATAATCAATAATTTAGGGTGCATGCCTATAGTCCAGCTACTCAGGAGGCCAAGGCAGAAGGATCATGAGCTTGAGGACAGCCTAGGAGCAATTTTGTGAGACCCTGTCTCAAAACAAAAGCTAAAAAGGGCTGGGGACATAGCTCAGTGTTATGAATTCCCCTGGGTTCAATGGTTCAATCCCCAGTAAAATACACGAAAAATAAAAAGATATGGAAGACTGAAATGGGAGACAAAAAAAAAAAAAAAACTAAAGAAATAAGCTAGGTGTGGTGGTGCATGCCTATAATGTCATCTGTCAGGAGGCTGAGGCAGGAGGACTGTCAGGAGTTCAAGGCCAGCCTGAACTACATCGTGAGACCTTATCTCAAAACAAAAGAAAAAACAAAAAAAGAAAAAATTCATAGAACATGCTCAGAGATCATGTAGAAAAGCAGGCATCAAGAGCAAATGAAAAAAGTTTTGTGTGGTGCACCCCGTAATCCTAGCACTTGGAACGCTGAAGCAGGAGGATTCTCAGAAAGATCGAGGCCAGCCTGGGCTACATAGTGAGTACAAGGCCAGGCTGAACTACACAGCAAAACCTTGAGTGCACAAGGAAGCCTATCACAAACAAACAAAACAAACAAAAAACCACTGAGAATTGAAAACTGAAATGAAAAACTGGGAGTGCTCAACAATAAATTATACATTAGAGAAGAAAAGATTAGTGAAACAACAGAAACAACCCAAATTGATACCCAGATATTAAGTTGTTTTTTTGGTACTGGGGATCGAACTTGGGACCTTGCCCCAGCTGTAAGTTTAAATACACATACATGATTGATTAGTGACCTAGGGGACAACTAAAAGCAACTGGAACCCTGCCATTCCAGAAAGAAAGGAGAAAACTGACTTCTGAGAGGAGACAAACAGACTTGCAAAGGAAAACAGTAAGAGCCAAATACATACGATAGCATAACATTCAAAAGAAAAATTCAAACTAGAAAAAATTTTCAGAGTAATGGCTAAAATTCTCCCAATTTCATAAACACTATAAACTTGAAGTTATAAGAAGCTGAACAAGCCATAAAGACACACTCAAAATACATGCCTACATTGGTGGCACATGCCTGTAATCCTAGTACCTGGGAAACTAAGGTAGAATTGCTACATAGTATAGTTAGTTTAAGGCCAGCCTGAACAACATAGTGAAAGCACATCTCAAAAAAATGGGTATATAATAATAAACTTCCTGAAAACAACAGACAAAAGCATATGGAACCTCTAGTTTTAATTTTGAGTAATCTCCATGTTGATTGTGCCAATTTACACTCCCACCAACAATGGATAAGGAACCCTTTTCCTCCACAGCTGGCCAGTATTTATTGGTTGATTTCTTGATGACAGCTAATCTTTCTGGAGTGAGACAGAATCTGTGTTGTTTTACTTTGCATTTCACATACATTCACATTCTTGTGTAACTATCACCACTCTTCTTCAAATCTGAGACACTCATCTTCAAATCTGAGACAGAATAGGGTGTGGCAAAGCTGGCTAGGGTAGCAGGAATGTCCTGTTAATTACAAGATCTGCCCCACAGATGCAGAACAGTTCCCAAAGCCCTGTACCTGGACTTCTTGCAGGTTTTAAATAAGCAAGCCTACACCTGACATCAGCCTGAGAGATGGGATCCCAACACAGCCCCTAGGGCCCCGGATGTAGAAGTTCTTGAGAGTTTGAGATTTAGATAGCATAAAGAGAGGCAAGCCATGAAGAGCTTGCTATGATATCTTTCCACGACAGACCACGCTGCATTTCTCAGACATAGCGTGTACTTTTTTATTTTTATTTTTTGAGACAATGTCTTGCCTGAAGTTCAGGCTGGCCTCAAACTCACTGCGATCCTCCTCCTTCAGCCTCCTGAGTGCTAGGATTACAAGTGTGCACCACCTTGCCTGGCTTGCGTGTACTTTTATTTTTGCTTTTACCCTTTTCTTCTCTTTACTGGCTCAAACTCGCTCTGCAGAGCCAGTTTCTTCCTTACTCTTCACTTTTACTCAAATAAGCTTTGTTACTTTTTTTTTTATTGGGGATAGAACTCGGGTCCTTGCGCTTGCAAGGCAGGCAGCGGAACCACTGAGCTAAATCCCCGGGGCCACTTTGTTACTTTTTTTTTCCCTCTCATTTCATCCAATTGTTTGTTCCAAATGAGAAGAACCTAGAATTTGACTGCAGAGAGGTGAGCAACTCAGAGCCCAGTAATATTTAGTTAGCTAGCCACTTTTAGAAGAAGGCTACCAAATAACGGAACTATTTTACCATCACAGACACAAATAATGAAAGTATTAAAGAAAACTTCCCCTTTCCACTTTCCTTTCTACCCATAAGACTGTCAATTCTTGATTCCTCAGGTAAATTGAGTCATACCATACTGGTCCATTTTTGTCTATTATTTCACAAATGTAAGGTTTTTAAGGTTTATCCATGCTGTAATTCACTCTTTTTTTTCTTCCAGTAGTCATGGGGAAAACCCAGGGGCACGTTATGGCTGAGCTATATCCTCAGCTTTTTTTTTTTTTTTGGTACCAGGGATCGAACTTGGGTCCTTGTGCTTGCACAGCAGGTAGCGAAACCACTGAGCTAAATCCCTGGCCCATATCCTCAGCCTTTCTAAATTTGAGAAAGGGTCTCACTGAGTTGCCCAAATTGGCCTTGAAGTTTTGATCCTCTTGCCTCAGCCTAGTGTGAAAGTGAGATTACAGGTGTGTGCCCATACTCTGAAAGAATCTGATTCCTTTTCAAGGCTGGATAACAATCCATTGCACATATATATCACATTTTATTTAACCACTCCTCTGTTGATGGACTTTTGAGATGTTTTTGCGCTCCATCCTGTACAAGGAATTGAACTTAGGACCTCGAACTTGTGAAGCAGGCTCAGTGAAATTGAGCTAAATCCCTGCCCCAGGCTTTTGTTAATTGTAATTAGAGCTATCATAAAGACTGGTATTCTGGCCTGGCTGGGTGTGGTGGTGCCTGCCTGTAATCCCAGCACTTGGGAGGCTAAAGCTAGAGGATTGCTGCAAGGCCAGCCTGGTCTACATAGTGGGTTCAAGGCTAGCCTGAACTACACAGCAACATCCTATCTGAAAAGAAAAAAAAAAAAAAAAAAGAAGAAAGTATTGAGTGGGGCATGGTGGCACACTCCTGCAATCCCACCCCTCAGGAAGTTGAGGCAGGAGGACTGCTGAGAGTTTGAGGCCAGTTTGGTGAGTTCAAGGCCAGGCTGAACTACATGGCAAGACCCTGTCTCAAAAAACAAAACAAAACAAAACGAAACAACCAGGGAAGACTGAGGTACAAAGATTGACTTTGATCCCAGCCTAGCCAATTTAGTGAGATGCTATCTTAAAACAAAAAACAAAAAAAACTTACAATGCCCCACATTTCTCTGAAAATAAGACCTAACCAAAAAATAAATAATAGCATGATTTTTCAGGATGTTTCTAATGTAAGTCCTACTCCCAAAACAAGCTGTGGTTGACAAATACATTTCGTATGTCTGCTGCAATACATGATGGACTTACTGAATTATAAAATATTAATATATAATTATTATTGACATGAACACTTAAATGATGTCAATGATGACTCAGCAGGTGCCTTAGAGGTAAACACCTAATATAAACAGATGAACTTGAGACTTAATGCAAAATGATCAATTAAGAGTACAGACATAACAAATAAAAAAATGTGTGCACTTGATAATGGGCATGTTTGTGTCTAATTGAATTTTTTCTTTTTTTTTGGTACCGGGGATCAAACTGAGGACCTTGTGGCTTGTGAGGCAGGCAGGCAGCGTGCCACTGAGCTAAATCCCCCGCCAGGAATTTTTTTTTGTTTTTTTGAGACAAAGTCTCGCTATGTAATTCAGGCTGGTCTTAAATTCACTACGTAGCACAGGCTAGCCTTGAATTTGCAGCAATTCTCTTGCCTCCACCTTCTGAGTCCTGGGATTATAGGCATGTGCCACCACACCTGGCTAATATGAATCTTCATAATTCAGTACATTGTGTGTTGCAATGGGTGCACTTATGTGAAAAGAACTGTTTTCTGAATTTTGGTGCCCACAATTTCTTTCCTTTTGTGTGGACTGGTCTTTTTTGTTTGTTTGTTCGTAGACAGGGTCTTACTATGTAGTGCAGGCAGGCTAGTCTTGAACTCATGGTGATCCTCCTACCTTAGCCTCCCAAAGTTCTGGGATCACAGGCATGTGCCACCATGCCCTGACTGTCATTCTTAACTGTCATCATTTTTGTTGCCACTCTTATTTGGTAAGTCTTCAGTTAACCCTTGTTTTAATGAAGTCCAGCCTGTACGAGGGCATAATTTGGAGGAAGAATTCATGAGACAAAATCACTGACGGCTGCCAATGCACTATGAGCAGGCTACATCACTGGACTTAAGAGAACGGGGCCAATAGTTCTATAGGAAATGGAGCTACAAGAAATTCAAGCTAGAATTTGGTGTGGAGTTACGACAATGTTCTAGATGATTTTTGAATGCAGATTTCTGTACATGAAAAAATAAGATATCCCCTGAAAATGAGCTCTACTGCATCTTTTGGAACAAAAATTAATATAAGATCCAGTCTCATTTTTGGGGAGATACAGTAGTTCAGTGCAAAGACCTTGAGTTCAATCCCCAGTACCACACACATAAACACAAAGGTGAAAGGCTCAGGTGTTGCTCAGTGGTATATGATACATGAAGGCCGAATTTCCAGGCCCTTCCAAAACAAACAAAATCAAGCAATCAAAGGAAACAAACAAGAAAAACTCTAACACCAAATGTACCCACAGGAAAAAAACAAAGAATCTGTTGGGATACACAAAAAGATTAAAAGAAATTTTTTTTGGTGGTACTGGGCATTGAATTCAAGGCCTTTGCACTGAACTACATCCCTAGCCCATGGACCATATGCATGAAAATCATGTTTGGGGATTTTCAGAAAGCCAGGGGTGGTAGCACATGCCTGTAATCCTAGCACTTGGGAGGCTGAGGCAGGAGGATCACCGAGAGTTTGAGGCGAGCAGGAACTGATAGTGAGACCCTGTCTCAAACAAAACAACAACAAAAACCAAATACTGGGGCTGAGGCTATACCTTACACAGAAGAGGAAATGCTATATCCCCATCCCTTTAAAGATTTTTAATGTTGATACAGATGCAAAATTATTAGGTTGTCGGGACTGGGCTCAAACTTCGCATCCTCCTGCCTTAGCTTCCCAAGGATTATAGGTTTGCACCACCATATCCAGCCCTCTTTGGACACTTATGTTCTGTTTCCTTTGCAGGATTGAATTCAAGGCCTTGGGCATGCTGGCCAAGCACTGTACCAGTCAACTACAATCTCAATCCTAATTTCTGTCGTACTGAAGATCAAACTCAGGCCCTTGTACATGCTATGCAAGCACTTGACCACTGAGCTATCTCCTAGCCCAGTATTTTTAAAAGTATGATTTTACGATATATGAATGAACACTCAATGTAGTAAATGTTTGCTTTTGGTTTAGAAATTTGTTGTTTTTTTTTTTTTTTTGGATCGGGGATCAAACTTGGGACCTTGCACTTGCGAAGCAAGCAGCGGAACCACTGAGCTAAATCCCCAGCCCAAAATGTTTTTTTTTACTATTATGTTTTTATGACATCCATATTATTGCCTATAAGCCATGATTTACTAATTTTTATTACCATATCATAGTCTATTGTGTAAAAAACTACAATTTACTTACCTTTTGACCTGTTTACTTAGGATATTTTCACTTTTTATATATTATAAACATTACTGATACTAGTTTTCTAAAAGGAAAAAAAAAATTTTTTTTTCTGGTGCCCCCAGGATAGAGATTTTCTAGGATATCTAAAAGAGAATTATTGGATTATATAAAGTTGGTTTGTAACACTTTCTTTTGTAATATTCTGCATGCCAATAATTTATGAATAGTATGTCTTATAAATGTAACTTGTTCCAATTTGTCTTTATACATTTGTCACAATGTTGCTTGATGCACATAAATTCTAAATTTTCATATAATTTAGACTATCAATCATTATCTTTATCGTGGCTGCTTTTGATCATTTATGAAATCATTTCTAACAAGGTCAAGAATTAATTCTTCTCCCATACTATCTTTAAAAGTTTAGGACCGGGGATTTAGCTCAGTGGTTCTGCAGTCTGCCTCGCAAGCACAAGGTCCCGAGTTCAAGTACCCAGGTATCAATCAATCAATCAATAAAAGTTTAAAGTCTCCTTTATATACTTATGTACCTGCTTGGTGTGGTGGCACATGCCTGTCATCCCAGCACTTGGGAGGCTGAGGCAGGAGGATCACCATGAATCTGAGGCCAGCCTAGGCTACTTAGCCCAAGGCCAGCCTGACCTACATAGTGAGATCCTGTGTGAAAAACCAAGAAACCAACAAACCAACCACTTACATACTTAATCATTTAGAAATCAATTTTTGGGGCCAGGGATTTAGCTCAGTGCTTCTGGTGCCTGCCTTGCAAGCGCAAGGTCCCAAGTTCGATCCCCAGCACCAAAAAGAAAAAGACCCTGTCTCAAAAAAAAAAAAAAGAAATCAATTTTTGTATATAAGATAGAATCCAATTACATTCCTAAATTTATTGACTAGTATCTGCCCTTTCTATTGATATGAAGTATTATCTCTGACATATAGCAAGCAAGCTTTCATATATGCAAGGGCTATTACCTTAGTTCCATATTAGCTTAATATATCATAACTTGAAATTAAGTTGGTATAAAACTTTGCTTTATTTAGTAATTCCATTTTGAATGCTATTTATTTTTTTGACAGTACTGAGGTTTGAAATCAAGCGACCAGAGTATGCCAGTCAAGCATTCTACCATGGATCTATATGCATCGATATTCTCAGCATTTTAAATTATTTTAACACAGGGTCTCCCTGAATTACCCAGGCTGGCCTGGGAGTTGTGATCTTGCTGCTTTTGCCTATTAAGTAGCTGGAATCACAGGCCATCATTACTAGCCTGACTGGCATATTTATAGTTGGGATACACAAAAGGATTAAATGGTCTTCTAAAAATGATTTTCACTTTCTGCTGTATATCTTTGGGAATAAAGCAAAATTATAAGCCAAAAAAAGATACATATATAGTGTAACCATAATCCTATTTCGGGCTGGGGATTTAGCTCAGTGGTTTCGCAGACTGCTGCGCAAGCGCAAGGACCCAAGTTTGATCCCCAGTACCAAAAAAACAAAACAAACAAAATTATAAAAAGGATACTATGGCCAGGTGTGGTGGCACAAGCCTATAATCCCAGCACTTAGGAGGCCAAGGCAGGAAGACTGCCAAGAGTTCCAAAGCCAACTTTGGCTACATAGTGAGTTAAAGGCCAACTTGATCTACAGGGTGAGACCCTGTCTCCAAAAAAAAAAAAAGATACTATGAAGAAAATAAATCTAACATGCTAGAAGACTTAAAAATGTATTTGATGACAGGACAAAAATTGGAGAGCACAGAAAAAATGGACAGATAATATGACAAGAAAAATAATTCCATAAATGCAGCTATATATTGGATAAAATATAATGTTTTGTTTTGCCTAGATTTTTATACTGCCTTTGATTCTTAATGGATAGCCATAAATAAGAAGTTTTAAAAATAACTGCCAGCTGTGGTGGTGCATGCCTGTAATCCCAGCACTCAAGAGGTTGAGTCAGGTGGATTGCCATAAATTCAAGGCAAGCCTGGGCTACACAATGAAACCCTATCACAAAAACAAAAACAAAAACAAAACAAAACAACAAAAAGAGCAGCCTTTACATAGTAAAAAGCAAAAGGTTTTTAAGATTAACAGAATAATCCAACTGTATACGTTTATTACAGTTTTACAAGGCTAGTTAGTTCTACTTGGGTAACATTTTAAGTTAGGAATTACCTTTTATTATTTTCTTGCTCTTCCTCCTCTGGTAACGGCTTCTGCTTTTTCCTGGCCTGTTCATCTAACATCCAATTTTTCCTCTTCAACCCCTTCTTATGCTCTGAGTTCAAGTTTACACTCTGAACAACAGCCTCAATCACATCAGTAACTGTATCAGGACTGAGATGCAGTGGCGTTTCCTCTTCACCTTCATTCAATTCTGGGCTGACAAACTGGGCAGCCTGGAATGCTTGCATTGATACCACAGCCTGGAGGGGACATTTTCGAGGTCGACCGGGTCTGCGTTTCACAAAGTTATTCCCTGTCCTGGCCTGCCTTTGAAGTTTTTTGGCTTTTAAAATTTTATTGACATGGTCCAGGTTTTTCTTGGTGGCCAAGATTTTGTCATAATTGCACATTTTCCGAGCTTGGCGCTGCATAGCTTCCACTACACTTCTCTTGATATGATGGGGGGAACAGCTGCTTGTGGTTAACTTTTCAGAAAGGAGTGAGATGCTGTTACTACAAGAGTCACTCGGGACTACAGGCACTAGAAGACTGTCTGGTTTTCCCAGGGTTCGCTCCTTGCTGTGGCTACGGCCTGGGCTGGAGGAAGGTGGTGCAGAGGCAGTTGTAATCACAGAATCAGTGTTTTTCTCCATGGGCTCTTGGTCCTCATGTTGTACCATCCGCTGTAGTAGACTATCTACAGAGTCATCCATGGAAGCAACCAATCTTGGACTTCGAGAGGAAACTCCATTTACTAAAAAAAGACAACAAATCACACACAGACAAAAATTGATCCCAGCTATTATAATTTTCCACACTGATGAAAGACAAGGGAGCTACTCTATTTTCCATAGCAAGACCAAACATAATACTATAAGCATTGACCTTTCATAGGTAAGGTGACAGTTTAGAATATTTTCCTGAAGTCATATTATAATAAGCCCAATAAAATAAAAATTGGTGCATATTTTCCAAATAATATGTAGATTAAAAATAACCATTCTGGCCAGGTATGGTGGTTAACGCCTGTAATCCCAGCACTCAGGAGGTTGAGACAGGAGGATCACAGAGTTTGAGGCCAGTGTGAGCTACATAGTGAGTTCAAGGCCAACCTGAACTACATAGTAAGATCCTGTCTCAAAAAAAAGCCATGAAACAGAACAAGCTGAACATAAAACCCAAAACAAAACAACAAAAAACACATTCCGTGTGAGATAAAGAGCAGAAAGTAAGAATTCAATTCTTCAAACATGAAGGTTAAAGGGCTTGATAGGTTTTTAGGTTAAGGACTTGATAATTAAATGTTGAACAAAGAATTAAATTTTAATCAGAAATGATATTTCTATTCTAGCATTTGTTTTAAGTGCAAAGGTTTAGGGACAAAGTTCTCTTTTGGTAAAAGCTTTAAAGTTAGATTAGACAAACGTGCATAAACTTTTTAGAAAGAATATATATTAAATAAAGGATTAGATATAAGCAGTCTTGGACAAAGTCTATTATGTTAGTAGCCCAATGATTTTGGGTTCCTTGCATCTTCTGAGATAACTTTTTTTTTTTTTTGGTACTGGGGATCGAACTTGGGACCTTGCGGTTGCGAGGCAGGTGCCAGAAGCACTGAGCTAAATCCTCGGCCCCAGATAACTTATTTTTGACTGTAATTAATTTGGGAAATGCTCAACCTCCAGCAAGCTATGCTCATTTTACAAGTATCAGTTCAAAATAGACTAGTTTACTAACGATTATAGGTCATACATCTCTAACCAATGGATTTATCTATATGACTTTGAAATGTGATATTATTGTAGATACACCTTTATTAGTGCTTGGCATTCTTTTTTTTTGGCCGGGGGTAATACCGGGGATCGAATTTAAGACCTCTCGCTTTCAAGGCAAGTGGCAGCACCACTGAGCTAAATCCCCAGCCCAGCGCTTAGCATTCTTAATTCCTATCTCACCAGACTACACTAACTTTCTTCAAATATAAGTAACTTCCTTCAAATAAACTTTTAAAATTTCAAATTCTCAGGCATATTTGACATTATAATTCTTAAAAAAATCCTGACTACACTGTTTATATACTTTGACTTACAATTACTTCTGACTCCAGGGCCAGGGATTTAGCTCAAGCGCAAGGTCCCAAGTACCAAAAACAAACAAACTAACTTATGACTCTATTAAATTTAACTGTAGAGGTTCTCAATACACAGTATTTGGTATTTGCTTTTTATAGTTTATTAACATGTTTATTTTCATAGCTTCAATTATCATCAGTTATATAAGTGATAACCTAAATATACATAGCGATCTTCAGTTATATCTGAAAATAACCCTAATGAAAAATGACCCCCTCCCTTCTCTTCATTTAAAAGCTGTAATTTCTTCAGCTTTCTAGTTCAATCTCTTTTCTTGTCTCACTCTATACTCACTCTGGTAATTTATTCAGCTGTCATATACATTCTAATATCTCCTGAATAGACCTTTGTTCTGTCTAATTTTCTATTTTTGCATGTTTCACAGAATTCTCAAAATCAGCCAGGCATGGTGGCAAATGCCTGTCATCTCAGCACTCCAGAGGCAGGAGGATTGCTGGAGTTTGAGGCCAGCCTGGGCTACATAGTGAGTTCAAGGCCTGCTGGAATTACAGAATAAGACTGTTTCAAACAAACAAAAGAGGAAAGGAAGAAAGACAAAAAAGAATTCTCAAAATCATATTCACATCTTATTTCATTATATGCACCTCAATCACGCTCCTCATTCAGATTCCCTACAACAGTGGGTGATACCATAAAAGCAAGTATTCAACATTACATACAATGACCACAACCATGTGGCAGGAATTTAATTATCCATTCTTTGGTTATCTGTTCTTTCTCCTTTGTTCTGTTCTACAAATCATAAAATTTTATCTAATGTTAGTATGATCCCCTGGACCTATCTACTTGAAATTCAATAGAAATAAGAATGCAATGATTTCCAATGTTAGGTTAGATAAGGGACCACAACTTTCATGCAGTCTCTCTGTCTTGGGACACCTGCTCTGGGATCATAGGTTACACACTGTAAGGAAAATGATGCAATGCGTTGGCATGAAGGCCAACAGATCTTGTTGAGATAATGACGAAAGGCCAATATCAACAGCCAGATATATCAATGAGGAAGGCTCCGGGACAACTTCAGCCTACTACCATCTGGTTATAACCACAGGACAGAGGCCAAGAAACTCTGAGATAATAAATAATCATTACTATTTGATGCCAATAAGCTTAGGGCTGTTTGTTATTCAGAAATAGATAACTGAGGCCGTGTATGTGGTGGGCGCATGCCTGTAATTCTGGCTATTCAAGAAAGTTAAGACAGAAGGATTCCAAGTTCCAGGCCAGGCTGGACAATTTAGCAAGACTCTGTCTCAAAATAAAAAATAAAGGGGCTGGGGATGCACCTCAGTGGCAAGAGTACTCACCTATCACGTACAATGGTTGGGGTACACACACACACACACACACACACACTCTCTTGATTTGAGATGTTTAGAAATGTTCTCTGTGCCTGAAATAATCTTTCCCTACAAATTCTGCTTAATTATTATTTATTATTCAGTTTATAGTGAGAACATCATAAGGAGAACTTTCCTGAAGAGACAGGTTCCTAACTCCTCTAAGCTAGGACCCTTATTTAAGAACTACCATAACACTTCTTTTCTAGTAGTTGTCTCACACTTTTTTTTTTTTTTGAGACAGGGTTCACACAGCGTGATTTTGACATTCATTTGTGTTGCTACTTTCTCTTTTTCCTGTCCTTAATCGCATATCCTTTTGTATTACTGAACTATATAAATGTACCACAATATTCAAATGGAAATCTGAGTTGTTTCCAGTTTTTGGATATAAATAATAAAACTCTTACGAATATTTATAATGTAATTTTTCTTGATTTAATTCTTTTTTTTTTGGTACTGGGGATCAAACTCAGGACCTTGAGCTTTCGAGGCAGGCGGCAGAACCACTGAGCTAAATCACCAGCCCGTGGCTAAGATTTTGCTCTTTAAACTGGTTTTCAGCCAGTGTATGGTTGCCATGCCTGTAATCCCAGCACTCGGGAGGCTGAGGCAGGATTGCCCCCAGTTCGAGGCCAGCATTTACTACACAGTGTTTCAAGGCCAGCCTGAACTACACAGCAAGGTCCTGTTGCAAAAATCAAAACCAAATCAAACCAAAAAAAAAACTAGTTTCTGAAATCTAGTAATGGTGTCCTTCAATTTGTGTGTATCGTGTTTATCCAGTGTGAAATTTGTACAGGTTTAAGAATTCAGGTTACAGCTAGGCATGGTGGTGCACACCTGTAATCCTAGCACTTGGGAGGCTGAGGAAGGAGGATCGTGGAGAGTTCAAGGCCAGCCTGGGCTATATAGCAAGTTCAAGAACAGCTTAGTGAGTTCAAGAACTGCCTAGCGAAATCCTGTCTCAAAAAAACTAAAAAGTTACAAAAAAAGAATCTATAGGTTAAAGCTCTGATTAACTGTGGAAAAATTACCAAACATTATTACTTCAAATTTTTTTTTACTCATAGATCTTTTCTTCTTTTAATTTTTTTGGTGCTGGGGGTGGAAATCAGGGCCTCTGCTGCATGATAGGCAAGCATTTATACCACTTAGCTACATCCCTATCCCCCCAGTTCTGTTCTTATGGGACTCTGATCTCATGTTTATTAACCCTATTGGTACTGTACCATAGGCCAAAGAAGTTCTTTCCTTTTTTGTTAGTTTTTTTTTGTCCCTCTACATTTGACTTTGGATCGCTTTTCTTAATGGCATCTCTAATAGAAGGCATGGCTTAATAAAGGTTAAGAGTTATGGTGACATTTTCAAGGCCATTTTTTTTTTTTTTTTTTGGTATCAGGGATTGAACTCAGGACCTTGCGCTTGAGAGGCAGGCGGCGGCACCACTGGGCTAAATCCTCAGCCCTGGATCACTTTTCTTAGTATTTCTTCTAGTTCAGTGATCTTTCCTTATGTAGCATCTACTATCCCAGTGAAAATTTCATTTCAGATACTCCACTTTCCATACATTATACCTGATTTAAAAATTTTTAATACTTTACATTTCTTTCTATATTCACGTTTTCCTTTAAATTTTTTTTTTTTTTGTAACTCGGGTCCTTGCGCTTGTGCAGCAGGCAGCCAAACCACTGAGCTAAATCCCCGGCCCCGATCATTTTTTATTTTGAGACAGGCTTTAAGTCACCCCCCCGCAGTTGGGTGTGAACTTACAATCCTGCCTGAGCCCTGCAAATGGTATAGATGATGCTTGCTAGGGGGAAATGGAAAAAAGGGAATAAGTTGCTGTTAAATGGATAGTTTCAGATTTGCAAGAGAAAAAGTTAGACATATACAACAAAGATAATGTACTGGTGAACTAACTACACTTAGAAATGGTTGCGATCATAAACTTCATGTATTTTGCCGTAAAAAAATTTTTTTTTTTTGGTTAATGTTAAAGTTTAAGAATCAGGTGAACTGTAGAACAGTTTGACCACTTGCAACCTATTTTCAGTCTGTATTTACTAGGGTACCTCTTAAGTGTAGCCATCACTCCAGGGATACCTTAGCCCTGCTTTATTTACCAGGTCTTCATAATTACTTCAAGAATTCTAAAGTTACCAAGATAGAGTATGTAAAGGTGCAAATTCCCAATGATGAATGTCATTATATTGTACACCTAAAATGTACCAATAAAATTAATAATAATAATAAAAAAG